AACCGATTCACCCCTTCAGCTCAACGAAACGTTCTTTCATTTAAATGAGGGTGAAAAGCAGGACAAGCACGTGTGCCCCTAATGTTGCAGTAAACTGTTGCAATTGTGAATTTTTCAGTTACCTTGTACCCAATTGTTTTTCTGTAGTAGAGAATCTCTTTTTCCAATAGTTCAAACAGGCGTGGAGGAAAGAACTGGAAGTCCTGTACGTTTGGCTGTTTTGGAGGCCGAGGTGCCTGAAATGCACACAAGGTTTGGAAATACAAACTCCCTTTCGCACCCAGAATCTGTCTGCTTGTTATAACTGATTTCAGTTTATGAGCAAAACAAACAAAAGCTTTATTTTCACAAAAATGCACTGTCATTACTAAAAAACCCCAAGCCAACTACAACCATGAGGAATTCTAAAAGTAAAAGACCTGTGAGAAAGGAGAAAGAGTCTTTTTAGGAGGAGAAGGGGACTGGAGAAAGAGGCATGCATGCACCCCTTGAACAAAGGTCACAGGTGTTCTGAGCACCATCAAGGAAATCCTCCACAGGTGAGAAAAACCCACAGCTTAAATAAAAATAAACAAACATCTTGGTCTTTTACCTTCCTCACATCTTTCAAATTTCATCCTGCTCTTACTTTTTTTTCTCAGAGAAGGTTGTCTCAAGTCCTTTGGACTTTTCAAATTTAAATTGCCTCCCCGATTTACAGAAGTGAACAGAACATTTTTATAACTAAAGACCAATTCTTTGCTTTCAGCTTTATCACGCATCTTTGAACAATTTACTTTTTTACATTAGTCAACTCACCTTGGGTGCTTTCGGCTCGCTGACCCGAAGAGCCTCTCTGAAGTACGCATCCACAGCATAATTGGCTTTTCTTTCTCGTTTAGGTGGTTCAATCCACTCTGTAAAGGCCATCTATAAAAAAACAAATCCCACCACCCCAAAAAATATTAAGTCTAAGCCTTGCAAAATATTCAGACCAGCTACAAGTTTTATATAAAACTAGGTCTACATCTGCTTCATTAAGCAAGTAATAAAACTTTTAAAACTATTTTCATAGATTATACTGCATTTTAACCAACACTTTTGAAATAAATACGGTTCAATCATGCAACTTTGTGCTTTCCTCCAAAAGACATTTTAATGTTACCTTCTGTTTTTCTCTGTAGTCTTCCCCTTCAAAATTATACACACTAGACTCTGTATCCATTGTGAAATTCCTGAGTGAGCTTTCACCCATCTTTGAAAGTTTTTCATTCATTTCCGCAGTCTTGGAGGAGGGAGAGAGAAAAGAACAGTAGAGATTACAAAACATCTCATTTACAACAGCAGAAAAAAATGACATTTGACCAATACAAAAACTCTCAATAGCAAAACCCCTGTTCTCTCCAGCTTACCATCAAGTTCTCATCTAGGGAAATGCTCTCTTGCCATCAAATATAAGTTTATGGTGGGCTTTCCTCTTTTATTTTTTTTTTTTTTAAATTTTATCTCACCTTCTTTGCCCCTCTTTCCAAAATGTGATCAATATCTTCATCTGTAATCTCACTCTCCTTTGAGGCAAACACATGTGTCGCTCCATGTCTTATCATTTGCAGCATTTCATCCTTCCCAAGTTTGTTCAGGTTTTGATCCACCAGTCTTCCTGAAGATAAAAGCATTGGAGGACAGCAACTAACTAAAGAGTTTACATTACGGAAGGAGCAATACATGATTTTTCTGCCCCTGACACTTCCATGTTTAAGCTATATGCTCTTCTCACAGTAAAGGAAATTCCACATGAATGGGGGTGGAGGGGAACAGGAAAAAAAAAAAACTCCAAGGAAAATCTAGCCAGGGATCACATACATTTGGTTTATTATAAAAGAACTGTGTTCAACAAACATCGCTTTGGATGTGAGGTCTTCCATATAAGCTTTGTTACGGTGCATGTTTTTGCAATTTCCAGACTAAACCTTATTCAATTCTTTTTTTCAGAAATAAAGTTACTGATTCCCATCAAGTCAACCAAGAAGGTTACATTGTCATCACTTCTCATTATTAAAAAACGGCCAGGCATTAATTTCTCCAGTTCAAAGGAGAAGTTGAGTGCTTAAAAAACAAAAGAACCTGACTCTATCCACTTGTGCTTATGTCTTACGCGGGAGGCCATCAAAAGGTAAGCGAGGAAAAGCCACCCCTGCAGTAAAATACATTCTCAAGTGGATCGGGGGCCTTCGCACTCTATCTCCAGAGTGCGGCTGAGGCAAACCCAACCCTCTCACTGGTTCTTACCAGCTGATTTCACCACAGGTTACCGGCCGTGAGAAAAAGAAGAGAATCGCATGATGTACAGAAACAAACTGCCGTCGTGTACTTGCCTTGCTGAATGACTATGGAATCCAGCCGGAGCTTCATTTCTGCACGTTCCACGATTCTTTCCTCCACTGTGTTGTCTGTGATAAACCTGAACACTCGAACAGTCTTTGTTTGGCCAATTCTGTGCGCTCGATCCTGGGCAAATAAAAAGGAACAAAAATATTCGGTACTTGGGTTCCAGCATGACTATGTAAATTAAGTCTTCAATTTTCCTGAGTTTCAACATACTAATTTACAAAATGGAATAGCGCCGGTTAGTTAAACCTTTCCAGACATCTTTCCACGACTACCCAAGACAGCACATTCTTATCTGCGTTGCAAGTTTCGGGGTGTTTTTTTCAATAACATTAGCAATGACTGGTCTCTCGATGTCATACCTAAAAATTGTGTGTGTTGTTTTGGTTTTTTTTAAATCACACAGGGGAGAAGACTGTACGCTCCTGACTCTATGTAATCTTCTGTAAAATCAAAGTACGTAAGAAATGATCTCTGTACTGACCAAAAGCTGCCTTTCTCAAAATCGTTCAGTTGTGCCATGAATACTTCAAGAAAAATACAACGCACCACCTCACCTGACTGGCAAATCATTAACCACTCTGAGAATTAGTATTCTGAACAGACACCTTTAGCGCTAGCTGGAACTAGCTCGCTTTAGCTTTCAGACACCAGTTCCATCATTCTTTCGAGCTAAATTTTGCTAGAATACTTAAGAACCTATAGCTTAACTGAAATAATTAAAGAGGAATTTTCAAGATTTCTCACTGAAAGGCCCCATTTGTCAAAAATCACCGGTAGTTTTTAAACAGCTTTACTTTCATATATGATCAGTAGCATTCTTGACATGTCCCAAGGCTGGAGATGCATGTAAATCTACTTCAAAAAACATTAAACCTTATCACCACCATAAATGCAGTTTTTAAAAAGTTTATTTCAGCATTTGTCTCTTTTTCAAGGTTTCAGGAAAGTCAGTGTAAACACATTCACCTCCACTCCCCTCAGAAGTAAAGCTTTATAGTTTTGAGATTAACATGCTAGGTCTCTTTGGGTTTTTTTTTTTAAAAGTAGGCTATTTTTGTTACATACTACTAAGAGAAGTGTAGCATATACCCAGCATTTCCCACTCCAATAGAACATTATAGCCCAAATTTGACTAAGGGTTCCACACAGTGGAAGCTGCACTAGAACCAAAAAATCAGTCTTACAAATACTGCTCCTCTGTGAGAACAGGAAAATCACTGATTTATTTAGTAAATACTACATCATGCCACACATTTCTAGGAAAGTTTCGTGAGAAGGACTAGAAAGAACAGCGTAATTTTCATCTGGATTCTTACCATAGCTTGAAGATCCACTTGTGGATTCCAGTCTGAATCATACAGAATTACAACATCGGCAGTAGCCAAATTGATTCCAAGACCTCCTGCTCGTGTACTCAACATGAAGACAAATTTTGAGCTACCAGGTTCATTATATGCATTAATAGATGCCTAAATAAATAAAGGGAACATGTCAGTTGAACCAAATGTTTTACGAGTCCTATTTTTACTTAAATAAAATCCTTAAGATTTTAAAAACCTGTCTCTCGTCGTGAGGTGTTTGTCCATCCAGTCTACAATATTCATAATTTCGCCACATACAGTAATCTTCCAAGATATCGAGGACTCTGGTCATCTGACTGAAGATTAAGACTCTTGAGCCTGTTTGGGTAAAAATCATCCTTAGGTTTTCACCAAAACTTAAGATCTATCAAACTCTGCAAGTTTGCATTACCACAATGGGAAGGAGGGCAGATGACAAGCAGTTGGAACTGCAGAACCCAATTTCAGAATGCTGCTGTCAGAGCAGCTGTGCGGGGCTTAGCTGCCTGCCAGGGTTAGACCAAAACACAGAATCACAGAATGGCTTGGGTTGGAAGGGACCTCAAAAATCATCTCATTTCACCCCCCCTGCCATGGGCAGGGACACCCTCCCCTAGATCAGGGTGCTCAAAGCCTCATCCAACCTGGCCTTGAATACTTCCAGGGATGGGGCATCCACAGCTTCTCTGGGCAACCTGTTCCCATGCCTCACCAACCTCAATGTAAAAAATTTCTGCCTTAGATCTAATCTCAATCTGCCCTCTTTCAGTTCAAAGCAGTCCTCTTTTGGTGCCCAATGTGGGGCTTGGAGGGTACCAGATAGATAACAAGAGCTGTGACCAGTGTGCTGGACAGAATTTGCAGCCGTTGTTGCTGTTTGGCCACTAACTGGCAGGCTCTGTGCTTGCCAGGGGGCTTGCCTGCCTTGCTGTAATTAGAGCCCAGTTAGTGGCTGCCCTTTTGCTTTTGTTCTCTGTTGTACTCCTTGTCAAAACGTTCCCAGACACAGCAGAGTAAGATGATGATAACACAAATACGAAAAGATCAAGAAGCACAAAGAACAAAAACTTGATGGATTTATTTTGGATTACCTAGAAACCAAGTAAGTTCTTCTTAAAGTCTTGTCAGTTTACTTACCTGCAAGAAAAACCTCCAAAAAATGGAAACGTACAATAATTTATGCATATATGCACAATCGTTTCCAACCTACTTGAGATATTTATGTAAAACCCAGAATATTACAAAGGTTCTGTTTCCTCGTAGATTCTCCTAGTATGATTTTTTTGTTCTTTGCACTCAAGGTCTAATACTGAACTCTCTGTTGTTCAAGATGATCATTTGATTTAAGATCAGGTCAATTTTTATTGCCACGTCTCAAGAAGCCTCACAGCAGAAAGAAACCAAGATCAAAAAAACACAGGAACCACCGAATTCCTCTTTTTCAGTCTTACAATGACAGGCATCGCCACAGCTGCTTGAAAGATACCTGGATACGACGTACAGGTTACTTTTATATTACCTAAGGCTGAGGTTTGGATTTGGTGTTATTTTTCTGCAACAGCTTCCCAGTCACGAACTTTCCTCCACTCCTTTAGCCAAGTTACTTCAGTAAGCATACTCATTAAAA